TTAAAATGTTCATATCAGGCAAAAAGTTGATTTCCACAGATGTTCCTTTGGTAAATGATGTTAGCACTTCTCCTGACACTAATGTAGGTTAGGGTAAACACACTGTCATACAAGGGTTCAGAATGTCAAGAGAGAGTTTTTGCTGAGATCATTTTACCTTTCCACTGAAACTGAGAACATAGAAAGAAATGAATATTCACAACACTAAAAACTGAGATTGGATTATTACCTCCATGAGACTGTGGAAAGAATCTATCCAAATTGTAAGGCATGTGGAGGGAGATTACAAAAAATTCGTCTGCTTTCAACTGTCATATGAAATAATACACTACTGTGTATAAAATGGGCTTCCCTGGTGGCTCAGCAATAAAGAATCCACCTGCGATGCAGGAGACATGGATTTTATCCCTGAGTCGGGAAGATCCCCTGGAGAGAGAAATGGCAATCCACTCCAGTATTCTTGCCTGGGAAATGCTATGGACAGAGGAGCCTGGTGGGCTACAGTCCATGCAGTCATGAAGAGTCACACACAACTTAGCAAGTAAACAACACGTAAAAAATAAATAACTAATGAGAACCTACTGTGTAGCACAGTGAATGTTCTGCAGTGACCTAAATGGGAAGGAAATCCAAAAAAGAGGGGATATATGTGGGAATGGCAACCCACTCCAATACTATTCTTGCCTGGAAAAATTCCAAGGACAGTGGAGCCTGGTGGGCTGCAGTCCATGGGGTATCTAGACATGACTGAGCACAAGTGTGTGCACACATGAATGATTTACTTTGCCATATGACACAGGGAACTCTACTCAACGCTATGTGGTGACCTAAAGGAGAAGGAAATCCAAAAAAGAGGGGACATATGTATAACAGATTCACTTTGCTGTAAGCAGAAACTGACACGTAAAGCAACTATACTCCAATAAATAAATATTTTAAAAAAAAACAGTTGGAAAATGGTACAGGATACCCCTCAACTCCACCCCATTTGTCACTGGCTTCAAAAAATGAGATGGGCTTCACCCACTAGAAAGTAACAAGTCAATATTCCATGTTTCTTCGGTCACATTGCACACATACACACATGCACACACACACACACATTCCAATAATGATAGGAGCCGATGGAGAGATATCCTAGCATTCATCCTTGGGAGAGACAATTTTTCAGGGTATTTTACATGTTCTTTCAGAAATCTTCAATGGAATAAAGTCCTAGTGGTCCACAGTTGTAATGAACTCAAAAACACAATCTTCATTGACTTTCTTTTGCCTGAAGTCTTTCACTCCAGCTCTTTGGGATCAGACTTCAGTGGAATTACCTACACCTAAGCCTTTATGCTGGAGAAGGCAATGGCAACCCACTCCAGTACTCTTGCTTGGAAAATCCCATGGGCAGAGAGGCCTGGTGGGCTGCAGTCCATGGGGTTGTGAAGAGTCAGACATGACTCAGAGACTTCACTTTCACTTTTCCCTTTCATGCATTGAAGAAGGAAATGGCAACCCACTCCAGTGTTCTTGCCTGGAGAATCCCAGGGACAACGGATCCTGGTGGGCTAAGGGGTGGCCATCTAAGGGGTCGCACAGAGTCGGACACGACTGAAGCAACTTAGCAGCAACAGCAGCAGCAAGCTTTTATGCAGGGACAAACTAGGATGAATGTCCTACTTCCACCTTCTTTGACTGCTTTATAATTTTATTCACTCTTTAAGACTTAGCTCAGATATCACCTCCTCAGAACAGCCTTACCTGACTCTGCCACTCTGATTTAGATACCCCTTTCACTTTTGTTCAGTCAATCGGTTATCATGTCCAACTCTTTGCAGACCCATGGACTGCAGCATGCCAGGCTTACCTGTCCCTCACTATCTCCCAGAGTTTGTTCAAACTCATGTTCATTGAGTCAATGATGCCATCCAACAATCTCATCATCTGCTGCCCGCTTCTCCTGCCCTCAATCTTTCCAGCATCAGGGTCTTTTCCAGTGAGTTCGCTCTCTGCATCAGGTGGCCAAAGTATTGGAGCTTCAGTTTCAGCATCAGTCCTTCAAATGAATATTCAGGGTTGATTTCCTTTGGGATCGACTGGTTTGATCTCCTTGTCATCAAAGGGACTCTCAAATGTCTTCTGCTGCACCTCAGTTCAAAATCATCAATTCTTTGGTGCTCAGTCTTTATGGTTCACCTCTCACATCCATATATAACTAATGGAAAAAGCATGGCTTCGACTATACAGATCTTTGTTGGCAAAGTGATGTCTCCGCTTTTTAATAAGCTGTCGAGGTTTGTCATAGCTTTTTTTCCAAGGAGCAAGTGTTAATTACTGTGAAGTGATGGTTGTTTTATTAATCAGATTGTGGTCATAATTTTACAAAGTTTATGTATGTAAACTCATTACACTGCATGCTTTATACAATTTTGTCAGTTACACCTCAAGAAAGTTGAGTGGGGGGTAGAACAAATTTTTTTAAATGTCAAGCAATATTTTTTCCTGCTAGGAATATATGTTTACTCCTATTTTTCAATCTTATGCAAAACCTCTTACTGCATAATTTATGAGATATAGCAGCTTTTGATTGTTGTTTTTGAAAATTCTAAACTATGAAGCCCATGGTGGCATTTTGCTAAATAGCCTTGCACATGTTGGCTTTTGAACATTTTAACGAATAAAAGCACACAATAAAAAAGTCAATATGCTCACATTTTTGTTGGCATGTGTTTATGAGTGATAGATTGCAAGATAAAAATATTCTGTCAAGTGAATTGTGGTTTAAAGTGTTTGAAAGTCCCTGCTGTAGGCCAGTGCTTCTCCCAAATGTAGTCCAGGATCCTCAAGTCCTAATAACTAGGCTAAAAATGCAGCTTCCTGGCCTCATCCCAGAAATTCTGATTAAATAGGTCTAGGATGGGGCCCAGAAATTTGTATTTAAGAAGAACTACAGGTGATTCTCACTGAATCACTAATATTACTGGCTCAGATAATAACACTTCAAGGGGTACAATGAAGGGATGTAAAGAATTGCCTGTCAGTTCACTTTCTAACATTATAGGGGGCTTCCTCAAGGTAAGAATTGTGGCAGAGACCTTAATTCTTGATACAAAGCAGTGTAGTGCAGTGGTTAAGAGGGTTTTTAAAATGAGACAGACTCAAGTTCTAATCCTAATTTGTCATTTACAAGTTGTGAGATATGGGGACCCTCATTTACTTTGTGTAAGTGGGGTTAATAACTGTTACTACTGCACAGAGCTAAAAGGATTCAATGAGATAAACCAACTGGTGTAAAGGAAATATTTGCTATTATTATCTTTAGGGATCCCCAACATTTTGAAAAAAATTCTACTCAATTTGACAGACATTAGTTGAGTGTGCATAGAATTATGCTAAGTACTTTTGGAAATGCAAATATGAAAAACAGCCCCTACTTTTATGGAGCTTACAATTATGATCATAGACTTTTACACCAGAAAATAATCAGGTTATCCAACCCATCTCTCATTTAAGAGGAGGAAAGTGAGACTCAAGAGCCTAATCATGTTCCTAAGAGTTGTCCACAGATAGTGGAGGAGCAGAAATAGAACCCAGGCCAATGTCTTTCCATCAGACTGGACTTCACTTCAGGATTCAGAGCCCAGTCCTCATAGGGATGTGCTGGTAAATGGTAACAACCAGTTTGCTGGGTAGGAAAATGTTTGTGTACATATTAATATGTAATTTTATTCTATACTTTACTCATATGAATAAATAACACATGGCTTACAAATGATCATAAAATATACAATTCCCTTTAATGCAAATTCCATATGACCAGTTGATTCTCACTGGATGTTCTATTTAACTTTTGCTCAATTCTTTTTTTTTTTTTTTGAAAAATTTATTTTATTTTTTATTTTTTTTCCATTTGCTACCTAATGGATTGGCTCAGATGGTCTTTGTCCACTAATGCTTTTTTAAAATTGTGGTAACATACATGTAACACAAAAGTTATTATATTAATCATTTTTAAATATATAGGTCAATAGTGTTAAGCATATTCACACTGTTGTGCAACCAATCTCCACTTTTTCATCTTGCAAAACTGAATCTCTATACCCATTAAACAATGGCTTCTCATTCTTCTCTCCCCCTAGGCCCTGACAAGTACTATTCTACTATTTGTTTCCATGAATTTGATTACTCTAGATACTTTATTTCAATGGAATCATACAGTATTTGTCATTTTGTGACTAATTTTTTTTTTTTTTTTGCTTAGCATAATGTCCTCAAGATCATCCATACTGTAGCATACGAAAAGATTTCTTTCCTTTTTTAAGGCTAAATAGTGTTCCTCTGTATGTATTGACTGCATTTGGTTGTTTATTCATCCATTGATGGGCATTTGGGTAGCTTCTATCTCTTGGCTATTATGAACAGTGCTGATACAAACGTTGCTGTGCAAACATCTCTTTACAATCCTGCTTTTAATTCTTCTGTATATATACCCAGAAGTGGAATTGCTAGATCATATAGCAGTTCTATTTGAAAATTTTTGAGGAATGGTCATGCTTTTTTTTCATAGTGGCTGCATCATTTTACATTCCCAACAGTGCAAAAGCATTTCAGCTTCTCCATATTCTCAACACTTATTTTCTGGGTTTTTGATAGCAGCCATTCTAATGGATATGAGATGATCCATTAACTCCTTACCCAATAAAATTTATTATTAAATCTGACATGTGATCTACTGTTAGATTATGTGAAAATTAATAAAGGGAAAGCTCACTAAAATGGTCAGAAGGCCAGTGGGAGAAGCTCTCATGTCAATACAGATCCCAATATCTGTATTTGCATCTCTGGCAAGATGTGATTCTACTCTACCACCACCTGAAGGAGGAAGAAAGATTTTTCTTCCGCCCAGCAACATCTCAGCCAATGAGAGACTTGCAACTCAGCCAATGAAAAGTCACTATACTTCAAACTCCCAGTTTCCTCCAATAGACTTTTTGTTTGTAACCCAGGCACCTTCCCCTTCTCTATAAAAGCGTTTCCCCTGGCTTGCTTGTGGGTCACTGTATTCGTGTGCCCGTGACTATGTTTGCTGCTCTCAAATATACCCATTTTGTTCGTAAAATAACTTGCTGTTTCATTGTTTTAAGATTACATGGAGGTTTCATAGAGCTCCAGAGAAGAACGCTGACAACTCCCAGTGTGGCCTAGTCCGCGGAGCTCATGGCTCGCTGACCCTGAAATCTGAGGGTAAGTTTTTCTGCTGGATCCGAGCTCCACTCTTTTAGCATTTTGAAACTCTCCAGGCTGTACTGGGGATGTGTTTCAGGCCTTTGTCGTTTACATGTTAAGGCTTTGTGCTGTGAGTATTCACGCTGTGGTCGGCACTTTTGAAATCAGGCCCTTCCCACTGTAACTTTGCTGGTATTTTGCCCTGCAGGCTATTTAAGAATTACTCTTTGCTCTAGGGAAAGACCAAAAAAAAAAAAACCTCTGAAAGTAGGGTCCCAGTTATCTGAATGTATTGAGCGCCCCCACTCAACCTTCATGGACCCAAGCCTATATTTGTTTAAAATCCATGGTCTCCTTCTCATGTGCATTTGCGTAAATGACTTAACCAAAAGCAACTCAGAATATCAGTGGCCATTTGGGGAACTTTAGAACTCTCTAGATTTCAGTTCAGTTCAGTCCCTCAGTTGTGTCCGACTCTTTGTGACCCCATGAATCGCAGCACACCAGGCCTCCCTGTCCATCACCAACTCCCAGAGTTTACTCAAACTTAAGTCCATCGAGTCTGTGATGCCATCCAGCCATCTCATCCTCTATCATCCCCTTCTCCTCCTGCCCTCAATCCCCCCCAGCATCAGGGTCTTTTCCAATGAGTCAACTCTTCACGTGAGGTGGCTAAAGTATTGGAGTTTCAGCCTCAGCATCAGTCCTTCCAATGAACACCCAGGACTGATCTCCTTTAGGATGGACTGGTTGGATCTCCTTGCAGTCCAAGGGACTCTCAAGAGTCTTCTCCAACACCACAGTTCAAAAGCATCAATTCTTTGGTGCTCAGCCTTCTTTATAGTCCATCTCTCACATCCATACATGACTACTGGGAAAACCATAGCCTTGACTAGATGGGCCTTTGTTGGCCCAGTAATGTCTCTGCTTTTTAATATGCTATCTAGGTTGGTCATAACTTTCCTTCCAAGGAGTAAGCGTCTTTTAATTTCATGGCTGCAATCACCATCTGCAATGATTTTGGAGCCCCAAAAAATAAAGTCTGACACTGTTTCCACTGTGTCTCCATCTATTTCCCATGAAGTGATGGGACCAGATGACATGATCTAAGTTTTCTGAATGTTGAGCTTTAAGCCAACTTTTTCACTCTCCTCTTTCACTTTCATCTAGACTTACCTTCTTGAAAAGTGAGATAGACATGGCCTTGAAATCATCTAAACTGAACTGGACACATATTTTGATTGGTATTTTGAGACTTCTAAATGTTATCAGCAGTCTGAAAATTGCCTCTCTGCACAATACAAAAATTAATTGAGGCAAACAAACTATTAAAAACTAGTGAGTGCAGTGCTTAGTCTCTCAGTCATGTCCGACTCCAAATAAACCCTAAATTACTTAGGTTCCTGGACTAGGCCAAATTGTGAGTTGCAGTTAGTTTTCTAAAGTAATCAAGGACCCCGATAGGTTTGCTGAAGAATTTAACAGAGTTATTCAAACCTACCAGCCTGGATTCTCAGATTTGTATCAATCCACATGCTTGCTGGTGAGGGTCAAGCCAAACATTGGATGAAACTAGTCCAGTGGGAACCTCCTGGAAGGGATTAGAAGATCAAGCAAGAGGCTACAGCACTCCCTAAAAACATCCACCAAGCAATGACAATAGCCTTCCCTAAGCCTGTTGATGGGAACAGAATTCAGGCTTGCACACAAAAATCTGATGACCTGGTCCATGACTATTGTAATTGACCTCAGATTATTTTAAAAGAAAATCTGGTCTTCTTTGAAATATTAAGTCCTCTGGGGTAGCCTCTAACTGTGTGTTTGTTAATCAGAACCTTTCTCTTTTAGTTGAAAGGACCAGGATGGTATGGGAAACTATGTCCATTCCAGATTTAGTTAATTTAGCAAATTAGCATGCTCAGACTCTAGATGAGTCTCCGAAAAAGACTGCTAAATTTCTTAATCTTCAACTCTGGCAAATGAAGTTCTCTATAAACAAAACCAAAACCTTCCAGTTTCTGCTGTTACTGCAAAGAGCCAGGAAATTGGCGGTGGTGGGGGGGGTTGGGCGATTGCTACACATGTAAACCTTACTGGCATCTTCAGCCTTCTAACCAGCCTTTCCATTGTTCTCCCAATTCCAAATGATGGACCTTTGAGCAACAGCAGATATTTTCTGTTTCTCTTCAGTCAGCTCAGAGAAACAAGTCTCTAGATGGGGAATGAGATCTCTCTCTGTCTTAATGGACATACCCTTGGTACTCAATCCCACTGCTGTAAAGCAACCCCTGTCTTGAAGTACTAAAAACTGTTCAAATTGAGGGAAATCTCCAGTGGACCTCAAGGGGTTCTTATCTCTGAGCTGATTCCCTTTTGTTTAGGCTCTTTGAGAGATGCACACCCTTTCTCCTAAGTTCCTCTGCCCCTATCCATTTATTCGGCTGAGACCTCTCAGAGAAGTATTTGACCAGGATTTCTTTCTTCTAAAAAGGGGAAACAATTTCTAGAATTTGGCAGAAGCCATCAAATTAGCCAACTAAATGAATTAAGCGACCCTTCAACATCTTTTTATCTGCCTTCAACAGTACAGGAGCTGATTCTGGAGAAACCGATAATTTTTCTCTATGGAATCAGCTCCCGTCTTCTTTATGGGCAAATCTCTAATAATGGAAAAATTCACAGTGCATCTGCCACAAAAGATTCAAACATCTCCTCAAAATCTCTTCTCAGAATTAATCAATACCCTATAAGTAAAGAGCCACTAGTGGTAAAAGAACCCACTTGCCAATACAGGAGACATAAGAGACTCATGTTCGATTCCTGTGTCAGGAAGATGCCGTGGAGGAGGACATGGCAAGCCACTCCAGTATTCTTGCCTGGAGAATCCCATGGACAAAGAAGTCTGGCGGGCTACAGTCCATAGAGTCACAAAGAGTCAGACACAACTGAAGTGGTTAGGCACTGGCTATAAGTAAAGAAGCTCTTCAAGGAATAAAGCCCATAACAGAAGATGTCAAGGCTTAAGGCATCATTATCCCTTGCAGGAGTTCCTGTAATACTCTTATTTACCTATGAGAAAACCCAGGGGCCAAGGATGTAGGTTTGTTCAGAACCCCTGAGCAATAAATAACGCCGTTATCCCTTGACACCCTGTAGTTCTTACTGACATCCATTCCCACTGGGAGCAAATTTTCACTGTAATTGATGGGTGTATTAATAATGTATTCTTTAGTGTTCTGGGCTCCCTTGGTGGCTCAGATGGTAAAGAATCCACCTGCAATGTGGGACACCTGGGTTCAATCCCTGGGTTAGGAAGATCCCCTGGAGGAGGGCATGGCAACCCACTCCATGATTCTTGCCTGGAGAATCCCCATGGACAGAGGAGCCTGGCGGGCTACAGTCCACGGGGTCGCAAAGAGTCGGACACGACTGAGCCACAACACTTTAGTGTTCTAGCTGGTAAGGCAGGTCAGTATCTTTTTGCCTTTACTTGGGAAGGATAACATGACACCTGGACAAGCATGCTCCAGGATTTCACAGAAAGTCTTTTTTACTTTTCACAAATCTTAAAAGCTGATAGTTTTCTGCAGGTCCTTAGTTTTAACATATAGACAATTTACAATATGTAGATGATCTCCTCAAATCTCCACACGAGATGATAGTATCCACTTATTAAAATGTTTGACCTTGAAGGGACATAAAATCTCCAAAGAAAAGCTGCAGTCTGCTCACACTCAGGATCAGTATTTATAGCACCTGATCTCAGAACAAGGGCTGCATTTGGTTCCTGATAGGCTTCATGGCCTTCTGAGTTCCACAAACCTAAACCTAAGCACCAGTTCCAGCTAGCTAGTTACTGTTGAACCTGGATTCCAAATTTCTCTCTTATGGTTCATCCACTATATGCTTTATTAAAACCTAGCAAACCTGACCCCATTAATTCAGGAGGTCAAGATGACACAGCTTCTGAATGCTTACAGAAAACCTTACTGAGATCACCTGCCCTTGGACACTGTTATTATCAGCTTCCCTTTTCCCTTTTATATGTGAAAAGGAAGGGAATGCACGTAGAATGCTCACCCCCAAACAGGGGGACTGTCATTGACCCATAAGGGTATTATAGCCAACATCTTCCAACTCCTTGTGATAATTTACAGAAGATTCCTCTAACCAATGCAGATTTTCATAGTTTACAGATGGTTCTTATTTAAAGGAGGAAAGTGGTAAATAGAGTGCTTGAGAAGCTATTGCAACTCCTGTGACATCACTGAGGCCATCACTGACATCATCTTTACCTATAGCTACTGTGGCCCACTGGCTTCACTACACACACATTCTCATGCTTAGAATTTAGCCAAGGGCAAAACCACAAACATTTATACCAATACTGTAGCCCGTGTGCCCTTGGAGCAGCCCATGACTTTGGGATGCTATGAAAACAGGTTTCCCCCCTCTAATGGGGAAGAAATTTTAAATTTCTCTTGCATCCAAAATTAATTAGCTGCCATACCTTGCCAGAAGCCTTGATGATTATTGAGATCCCTGGATAGTTCAAACTTGACTCCCTAGGGGCAAAAAGGGAACCACTGTGCTGATATTTATGCCCAAAATGCCGCTTTCAAAGGAATTAATAACTAGATCTCTGTTGTGGTCCCAAAGGACACTGGTTTGATTAAAAAAAAAACAACACTCTGGTTTAAGTTAAATAACAAACTGATCCAATGAGAAATGTTAAGATTCCCTTCCTTATGACTGTACATGCATTGAACCAGTGGTCCACTGACAAAATGATGGCATTCATGAAGAAATATCATTGGGGGAATACTAATAAAGTCACAAAGAGTGCTTCCCTCGCTTGTCCTCCCCGTCCAAAATACGATCCAGGGAAACCTCGCTGCACTGCTCCTGGGTATCTTGAAATGCCAAGTGGGCCATGCAGGGTTTGGCAAATAGATTTCATACTGCCCCCATCTCATGGCTATAAACGTGTTTTAGTCATGGTATATATGTTTTCTCAC